CGTAAATATTAACTCTGCTCCAGTTAGTATATAGTAAATTACGGTAAATCATAGCTACTAAACTAGTATTAAATTAACTTAGTAGTTGGAACAGGCCTAGAATGTGATATATTATATTAATATAAATTGAGACTTTTAATTAACTTATACCAATACCATTTACTAGGTAGTAATATTTTGCGAGTCTTTTATTAATTATGTTAGCTACCAAAAGTATTGGTATTTAAAGATCTTGATAAAATAGCTAATATACGATTAGGTCTAATAAAATAGTAGATATTAGAGTTATTATTTAGGTAATAGAGTAAACAAGAGGATAAGTGATTTATTTATCTATTATATACTTACCTAAGCTTACCCAAGCTCGCGCGATTGTAAAGCAACTTATCTACTAGCTCACCCGGGCGGCAGCCACCCGACTTCTGGCCGCGTTCAAGCTACACGCCGGGAGGTTAATAGTTGGGTGGGTGACCACCAGCGAATCCCTCCTGTTGTATGTATCTTTTATTTTTTATTAAAAAATATTATGGTTTATTGGATGTGCCCATGCCATTTTACCATTCACACCCTCTCCAGGGCCTTTTCGTGGTGTGAAAAGTTCACCACGTCAGACTCACTGGATGGTCAGCGCTCACTCTGGTAGTGGGAGCCCTAGGGTTTTGCCACCGTTTGGATTCCAAGGCCGCAATCGCCTCGCCCTGATTCACGCCTATTGATTCATATGGCGCAAATACCAGTTTGGCCCATGCAGTTAGTACAGTATATATAAGCTTTGCTAGCCTTACTGCAAAGAAGGACCCAGTTCGGTGATTCTTTCATACATTGCCCTTGCCTTCCAACACAAAACTTTGGCATATAGACGGAGATCCTTTCACTACATCCATGTAGCTGATCATGCTAATATCCCTTTCTTAGCAAAACTAATTTAATGATAGTTTACGGCCTAGTGGATGTTGAGCTGAAATAACCGTGATTGCACATCAACATCCCATATAACAAGGGACCAACAAGCACTGTCCACGCCATATTTAATGCCACCGTATTCCAGAAAATTGTTTACAAAATCAATGATGATGACCACAGAATTCATCTTTTTTCCGATCAAATATGCGGCTAGACGCTTTCTTGGACTGTGTCAGTAAACCCATACTACCGGTAATGATCCAACAGCATGGAAATCCCAGTGTCTGCCTAAGCACGTCTGAAGAAGTTCGAAAGGAGCCTTTCACGATCGGCCCATCGCCGACAATGTTCCGAGAATAAGCTAAGGTAATTCCCCACCCCTCCTGAATAGATAGGAAAGGTAAAAGATGCTTGTTAAGACATGAAAGTTTCCTGGGGACGGTTGCGATAGCGGCAGATGTCTGCGGCTGACTTTGAGAGAACTCTTGCCCAACAACTCTAGGATAGTAGCCTGTAAGAGCTACGAAGTCACGGGCGTGCCAATATGCATGCATTTGCCGGAAATTCGCCCCCATCAGCTCCGTCAGCCTCCTCGCATGCTTCCTTTCCAAGCCTGGCGAACTATAAATATATAGTTCGGACTGATTACAACCTGTATTTTGGTGTTTTAAATGATGCTTGAGCGATCTCATTGATAGAGCCCCACCTAGACTTGATCCAATGAATGTAATATTTCGCCTATGGGTGTTAGATTGCGTATCTAACCATCTTGAGATCGCGTCGTGGATCAATGGAAAGCTCATCCTGCTACACCAAACAGATTACCGTCCGCCCATGCACCCATGGGTTCCCTGTCAAGCGATCCATTTGAAGTTCGATATGTGGCCGGGTTTAGAGATGTTCCTCGGAATAGCAGGATTGCTCGATAATTTCTGTCCTCGTGGACTGGTTCAAGGTAGTGCCAGACAAGACCTGCACCAACGAGACGAATGCAAGTATCTACGAACAGATACTCGGTATCGTAGTCCCCTCGGTGTGCTTCAATGACGTGGAGGTGAACCGTTGTTCCTGGGGGAGGATGGATGGCGGCCAAGACATTGGTCCAGATCCAAAAGTTGGCTTCAAGGGATCGCAAATTTGGCGCGATATGGGTACTATAAGATGCAAAGAAATACTGTTTCTCGACTGGGCTGGCACTTCTGATTGTGGATGAGTCCTCAAGGAATAGCTGGTAATTGTTGGCCCATTGAGTGTCATGCAAGACCATAGCTTCGGGTGACTCAAAAGGAATTACCAATACTAGAAAATTAGCGAAATGATAGAGTGAAATAAAATGTGGTGTCACATCAGGAGTGTGCTGTAACATCGCCATGCACACTCCTTATGTCGTAGATGAAAAGGACAACTACGAAGTACGTGTTTCTGAGTTTGGTTTTCCACATAGGCCGACCATGGGTGAGCGATGATCTACGTACGCATGACTCCCCCCAAACCTGGGAGAAGATGGGAGACATCGTTGCACATGGAAGAAGCCGTTAAATAACTGACTCCGCGACGTGCCACAAAGAACAAATTCATTGGTACTCTCTGGTCGTGATTATTTTGTTAACGAGATGTTATCGTCTTTGCTGCGACTGACCATGTAAAGGTTGGCTATTTCCGGGGAAGGTTCAAGCCTCAGAAGTACGTACCATGGGCTAAAGAGTCTGGCCTTTTGATGACAAGTAGTACCCACTAAGCTCATTTGTTGAACCTTACATTTTATTATCATCTCTTCATCCCGATTTATCGACTGTGAGTGGAGCCTCGTCTAGAGCTCCGTGAGCAAGCTTTTAGATCTACACTACCGACCGTCTCATGACATTAATGGTATCTATTTCTGGCTCCGATCAAGACGCATCCGGATGGTGAGATAGAGCATGCTTGAGATGGAAAAATGCAATGGATCTATCGCTATTTATTTCTATGGCAGCCTTTCTTAGTACAGCAACGAAAATGCGCGTTCTGGTCCTTCGGCTGAAAAATAATTAAACCAACCGGACTTGGGTGAGCAAAATCATACTGATGGTGTTGTATATATCTCTGTTTTCTTTCATATTGCTATTTACTTCCCTGGCTGCTTTTTCTTCGCCAATTCGACCTCGGCCGCTTCCTCCCTGAGCATGCACTTATTGGATAAGCCGCTTGAGCACCTCATAGGGATGGAATTGCTTGACCACGTAGGCAACGCTGAGGTAGCCCCCAATGCAAATTTCCTATTTTGTAGAGTAGTAGTACAATTCAGTCATGCTACGGATGCCATCGCGGACTCTTTACAAAACTGTGATTATACGGTGCGCTGAAGCACCGCAGACCGAACTTTAGAGAAACATTCCAATAGAGACATGGTTCCTCAGTAAGAGAGCAGGGTCTATGACGAAAAATGGTAGGAGCGTGGTGGAACACTGTTGTACTGTACATTGCTAGCACATTGGCCCTTGCATGTCGTTCGATTAACAACCCCACCCCTCTGTTTTGGCGTTTACCTAGCCCCTCTTCGACTCACTGTGAGGCAACTTGCTTGAGCCACGCTTGTTTCACCACGACCAGCCCATGGGGTCTGCCTAGTCAACGGGATAGACCTGTTGATACTGCCGAGGTGTGGCTATCCCCGGCATCACCATCATTACGAGGAATGATGACGCCTACTCTCATGGTGGATAGTAGATTATTCGCGGCATTGGAATGGTTGTATACTTCACCGCGGAACATAGCAGTTGCGTCCTTTCCAATGTTGGCGGTTATCATCGCCCTTCCGCCAGGGTGGACCGCCATAAACTCCGTAACATCATGCACGACCCCTTCTATAACCAGAAGCCGAGCACCATTCTTGACTTCTTCGACATATGTATCCCACTCAATTGCAGGGAGTTCGTCTAGGTCGGGACCCCAAATAAGCGTCGCACGCTTGTTGTCAAGACGCTTCTGGAGTTGTTGCAGACGTGATTTCTCAGTCTCATTGACCTGGATTTGGTTAAGCTGGGATGCCCAACCCAGTTGCTTCCAGATCCATATACTCCACTTCGTGGGGTCATAGTCATACCACTCAATTCCATTTCGGTAGTCGTTGGGAAATTCGTGATGGAAATTATGGTATCCCTCCCCTAAAGTCAGGAGAGCAGTGAAAAGGTGATTGCGCGGAGAATGACGATCATCGAAAGGTTGCTCTCCCATATAATGTGCCAGCGAATTGGTACAAAACGTCATGTGCCAGCGGAAAACAACCCTGAGGCAGGACGCATAAACAATACCTCCCGGCAAGTCATTCCATAAGCTGGCTACCAGGCTTGGAAACACAATGCCAGCCAAGAGGGATAGAGGAACATAATTGCGTTGCTGCCAGATAACAACAGGATCCTCATTTAGGTCAGCGGCATCTATTTTCCCAGCCCGTTTACCTTCATCCTTGAACAACAGCCAGCCGATATGAGAATATAAGAGACCCTTGCGAGCATTATATGGATCTAAATCGGTATCGATATAACGATGGTGTGCACGATGCTTATATGACCACCATTTAATAGACCATTGGAATGAACCAGCTCCTAATGTAGCCAGGCATATCCTGAGCGCTAGACAAGCATGGTACGACCTGTGAGACCACAGGCGATGATAGCCTACATTGGGAGACAAAGGTCATCCTCTGGACCTCCAGAATGATTGAAAGATAGCTAGATGTACATACCAGCAGTGAGAGAAAGGGCGATGAGATAATCATATAGGCACATCCAAATCGCAGTTTTAAGTTGAAAAGGGGTCCGGAAAGCACCAACGCACACAGCAAGGTGCATTCCAGTCATGAATATGATATTAACCCAGTCAAACTCTTTGTATCGGAGATACATTCTCGCTGGGAGATAGGCGGCGAGTGTCCTTTTGAAGCTGATGCGGAATGTTTGTGTGCGCTGGTCTGCCCCAGCGCCTGACTTGCGGGGTGTCATAATTCAGTCAACCAATTACTCATTCCAGATAATGTCTTTCGAGAAAGGTTAAATCTGTATGTGAAGTGGGTAAAACACATAGTCGGGCATGGTGGCTTTATATGTGTCCCATAAAACTGCCAGGCTAGCTTGCCGTTATCCATCAAACTGTCGTGGAATGCAACAAGTGGAACACGCTCTGGTATGCCGCGGGTATAGCGGAGATGAACGAAAGTCAGGGCGTTCTTATTGAATGTATAAGCGACCCTGCTATAGGAGATTTACTCATTATAAGCGATCTAATTCGGTGTCCGAAATACATTACCATATAAAATTCCCTAAAACCCCAATATAGGGAAATTTTATAAATCTGTCTAATTCTCCACGTCGGGGTTTTGCTGTATAATAACGATGCGCTCAGAGCATTTGTGGGCATTCCTTGATAGCTCATTGGATAAGGTGATTATTCTCCAACATTTTAGTGTGGCCGGTGCGGGACGAAAGCAGAGGCAAGGGAGACGCAAGGGAGACGCAAGGGAGAGGTCGGGATAGATGCCTCATCCGCTCACAGATCATAGTATTTGGAACTAAATGACCAGTACTATTTGGCATGCTTCAATTATTTTTTGATCCATAAATATTTTGAAAAGCTAGGTCTACGCAGTCATATACTTCATAAGCATCCCGACACATCAGTGTAGACTGTATAGCTCGAAGTAGATCTTCTTGTCTTTGGTGGCGCCGTTTTCTGCATTCAACTAGTAGATGACCTCTTGTTTTCTGTGCGGCCTGACAGCTCTGACATCTAAATGAATTTTGCATCCCTATCTGGTTAAGATATGCTGGTATTGCTGCATTTCCAACCTTTGGCTGATAACGCGACGTGCGAGCTTCATGCATAGTTATACTTGTACGTGCATATGTGATGTCAAAATTGGCACATTCAACCGGGGATTCCAAGGAAGGCTTGAGAAGATATGCAAAGCCCTCTTACATTTCGCAACACTTCCGTTCCACAGTCTCTTTGGTCTTTCCCGAAAACTGGATCTTCACCCATAATGTTAGTGATGTAATGAGTGATGTCTTCCACTTAGCCTCGCATGAAGCCCTCGCTCATCCATCTATCCTGTAAGTCACCGACAGGCAGATATCCTTTGTAATTCTTTGGAGCTTTTCCAATAAAATTTCCCAGAATGATATCACTTGCCTTACTATGCTTCTCAGCAGCTTGGACATCATTGAACTAGTGTGATATCCCAAAGCAAAGTGATTGTCATGGAAGCTGAGGCGTTATCCCAAATGTCCGATGATGATGGATCTATCTATTATATCAGCGAACAGGTCGTATAAGATGTGGAGGGAGACGTAAGATAAGACTCCTTTTCCAGTTCCTCCCTTAAATATTTAGTAGGATATACATGACGATCTGAATAAAACCACCTTTACGCTTTAGAGATACCACAGCCTGGAAGATTCATTTTCCTACCATTGCTCGAGCGCATTTGGGTTCAAGAACCATTTTCCCTGCTCCGGGCGACCGACATCACGCATAATTTCCTTAAGAACGCTTGAATAATCCAAAGCTGGAATCCAGTCGATTATCTTCGTGTTTCGCTTTTTTGGTTAGATTCTGCCGGGTAGTATACCCTCCGGTACTTTGCACTTGGAATACTGGCTTTAGAGGCTTTGAAGCCTGGCTTGGGCGTGTGGTGCACCCTGTTCACCAGATCGTCTAAGGTTCATTGCCCTTACGCGACGCTCGGAGCAACAACAATAACTTAGGTCTTCTAGTTTAGCAAAGGGAGTCCAGGGTGCCAGACTTACTGAACCCGCTGTTTGGATTCTATCGCGCATATTCTAATTCCGGATTCCCAGTACGAACTTGAGATCAGTGTACTTCTGCTACTGTGAGACATACAGATGCATATAGGTTATTAAAACAAAAAATATCGTATTAAATACCATTGAGCGTTCTAGGGTAAACCAAAAGTTTTTTACATCTAACGTAATATGTCCAGATAGTACTTGGCGTGTCTCAAGATAAGACTCAACGTCCTAGCCAGACCTTGTACTCCATAGTGTATGCAGGTGGTTCGCGCTGCGGCACTTCCCGATCCCCACTGACTTTTTCCACGCTTAAGTTTCTCCCTTGACATTAACCACTCTCCCTATCATCACGCGCTGCAGCAAGACAGCCCTTCGAAATATTCTTGGCTTATCCCAGTTTTCTGATTTATTATTACGTCCACTGCCCATTTTCTGTCCTTGGAGGTCTGAGGTTTGTATTCCGGGACCGAGTGCCGCCGTTTATTCAACAAGAATTTCGCATGATGAACATACGCAAGGCTGCCATTTTAAATACAACTGGGTTGACGGCGCGGAATCACTTGAAAAGTATGGTCCAGGGGGTTACCACCCTATTATGATAGGAGATGTGCTTCACGGGAGATACCGCATTGTTGACAAGCTGGGTTTTGGAGGGTATTCAACTGTATGGCTAGCCCTGGATACTTGTCTACACCGCTATGTTGCTCTTAAAGTCGGTACAGCGGAGGCGCCTTTGCGTGAAACCAAAATCCTCCGAGCTCTTGCAAACCCAGGACATGACTCTATTCGCACACCATTAGATGAATTTGAGCTCAGTGGACCCAATGGAACACATCTATGCTATACCACGATACCCGCCCAGGGCAATCTTCGAGAAGCGTCTTTTAGTCGTCTCTTCCCTCTTGAAGTTACGCGCGCGCTGTCTGGTGGTCTCACATTGGCTATTGCTTACATTCATTCACGGGGCTACGTTCATGGAGGTGAGCGATGATGATGACTGAGTTCATCGGTGACCTGCTTTGTTCTATACGGCTAATCTTGATGAGTTCTGTATAATCAGACATCCATCTCCGCAATATCCTAGTTAAACTATCATCGGATTTTGATCACCTGTCTGTTGAGAAGCTATATGAAAGGTATGGTGAGCCTGAGACAGTCTCCATTACAGAACGTGATGGGAAGCCGCTTCCACCAAATGTCCCATCGAAGGAAGTCGTACCCCTTTACCTTGGCAAAAATGCCGAAGACTTCTTAGTATCAGACACACATATACTTCTCAGTGACTTTGGTGAGGCATTTGCCCCAGACCTGGAAATTCGCCACAGTAAAGACTGCCATACACCATTTGCAATGCGACCTCCAGAAGCCCGATTTGAACCAGAGGCGCCTCTCTCATATTCAGCAGATATCTGGAGCTTGGCCACAACAATCTGGGAGATACTTGGCATGCAGCCGATTTTCAGCACTGACTTTGCCTCTGCAGATGAACTAGTATCACAACAAGTCGATGCGCTCGGTATTTTACCCTCAAGTTGGTGGATGCACTGGCCGGAACGAAGCCAATTTTTTGACAATAACGGGCTCCCAAAAGAAGACCGTCACGTGTGGCCTGTAATTGAATTAGCATTTGAGGATTTTGTGCAGAAGTCTCGACAAAAACGTGGCTGTGAGTTTGGCAGGGAGGAGGCAACTGCCATTATTGATTTGATGCGTCGAATGTTGGTATTCCGGCCTGAAGAACGACCAACAGTTGAGGACATCCTACAGTCCCAGTGGATGGTTAAATGGGCATTGCCTGAATTAAAGCGGAGTTCGCAGACGAAGTAGATAAACACCTATATTTAATACATCTGGCTTTGTTGGCTGCATGCAAACTTTTGTCTTGGATTGCTTTTTTGTGTAGCTGAACAGTCCCAGGGTTACTGAACAAATACGTGGTCTGGTCGACTTAATGAAGCCATCAGATTCCTTTTGCATCTCTATATACTATACCTCGCTAATATCATTTTGCGCCCACTTGTACGGCAGCTTGTGCCTTGCCTAAATATTGATGATACCAGATTGTGTGCTGTTCAGTATTTTGTTCCCAAGCTATCGTCTCCCAAATAATGAGGGTTGCATGTCTTATATTTGCTCAGGCTTTGAGTCACGAACGACTTGGGCACTAGTACTGTACAGATGCTAGCTTTGAAATTTTCTCTCAGTCGAGATTTTGGAGGTCCTCAATCTCACTTTAAAATCTGGATATCACTTTCTACTTGTCAAGTATCATGAATAATTCTGTTCCATACTGTGCAATAACTGACTTGAAGAATGCTTCTTTTTTGCTTGGCTTTGCGTCTTTTTTATATCCCTATGATTGTGACAGCGAGTAGGCTACACGCGTACTGGCTCAGCAGTTGGCTAGTGATGTGATTCACCTCGTATTGAACTCCACCACCGAGGTAGCGAGATAAATATGCCCCACTAGGCTGTCTCCGCCTGGTCACCTACCAAGCTCGCAACACGCTTATTAAACCTTTCCCTGCCGCAAAAGATTTCCATCCCATTTATAACACCCTTTATTATGGAAACTACTGTGCCAGATGTCCATGACCAACCGTTCACAGATGTTGCAAGGGGTCTCAAATACCGCCTCGCGACCTCGGATGACCAAGCGCCCATGCGGACGATAGATAGCTCCTTCGAGACAAATCGAGTTTTTGAAATTGAATCCAAAACATCCAACTTTGGCTCCAGGGGCGAAGGATTTGGACTGGACATAAAGGCGGTCCAGTTGGACAGTCCCTTGCACAAATCTTTTCCAGAGGACGACGACTCGGACGCGGAGGATGAGTCACCGGATTGCTTCACAGTGGTAGTCGAGGATACCAATGCAATATCTGCTAAGGATGCACCGATAATAGATCCTGATACCACGGACCATCATAACAAGATTGTCGCATTTATATCCGCCAAATTCTCCAGTTGGAACGCTCGGCTGATCATCACTGATATCGAAATCGATCCGCTGTACCGACGGCAAGGAATAGGACGGAATCTCGTCCGTTATGCGGAAAGGCTTGGCTCTGCTAGGTGGCCAATTCGCCATATGTGGCTAGAAGTGTCGAATGTCAACTATCCCGCTATCCAGAGCTATCTCAGCATGGGTTTCGAGTTGGCTGGAATGGATGTCTCGCTATATGTTGGTACCCCAGCGGAGGGAGAATTTGCGATTTTCATGTGGAAGGAAGTTATTGTACCTTAGAATTAGCTGATGGAAGATCGTATAGTGGGTGGTCGGGGGTATATTATATGAAAATTAGGGTCACCTGGAAGGTAGCGAGTGGCACCCTTTGGTGTACAGGAATCGTGAAGCAAAGGAGATGATCTAGCAGGACCTTGAGATTCTTAGCATTGATAGATTACCAACAATCTTAATGTCATTGGACTGAAATGAGCTGCCGCTGCAGGGGTAGAGAAATACTAGACTGTTACAACGGATGAGATCACCCCATTGGTCTCAAAAACTATGGATAATTGCAGGTTCGATATCTCCTGAATTCAGGTTGAATCAATAATAGCTCGAGGTCACATGTTGTCCAAGTCCACGTGATTGCCTTCTCGTACTTCTGCCATACTTTTGAGGAAGCAGAGAAATCTAGTCCCAGTTCCCGTAAGATTGATGGCGATCGGGTGATCTATCAATCTCGGGATTTAGAGATTCCGAAAGTGCACGGTCGTCCTATTCTGGCTGACTTCGGAGAGGCTCGCTTTAGCTCGAGTGTAGGGAAGCAATGGGAGGATGTTCAACCTTTGGTTTACCGTGCTCCAGAGGTTGTACTACGGATACCATGGGACTCAAAGATTGATATTTGGAATGTAGGGGTTCTTGTATGTATATCTCGTATGACAAGTCTCATTCTGCCCAACACTAACGATTTGTATAGGCCTGGGGTCTTTTTCAAAAGAGGCATCTCTTCTACGCCCGCGATTCAAACGGGAACGTTTCAGACAGTCACCACCTCGCCGGGATGATAGCAGTAATGGGCGCGCCGCCAAAAGAAATGCTTCAAAAAAGCGAATATGCGAACAATTTCTTTGATCGCGATGGTATGATTACGGTTTATTTTTCTCGGCTTACCCCTGTTTACGCGTGACTGATGGATGTACTTAGGTAACTGGAAGGGTAACGCTGAAATTCCCTCCATATCTCTGGAGACATTAGAATGCAACTTGCGAAATACACAACAAAGATCATTTCTCTGCTTTATGCGGAAGATGCTTCAATGGAAACCGGAAGGTCGGGCTACTGCGAAAGAATTACTGGCAGATCCCTGGCTACAGTCAAGTTAGTTCAGTGTGGGGTTCACAGGATGGGTTTTCGTGGTATATTTAACGTGTGTTCGCTCATATGCTACGAGCGTCAGAAAAAAAAAAAGAAGAAGAAGAAGAAGAAGAAACGGAAAGATAAAGGGCTGAGCGAGCCACTGGGTACAGAAATCTCAGAACAGTTCGAAGTTCAATCTCATTTCAAACTCGCTGTGCCACATATTGCGCAAGGGCCTCGGACAACATAATGCATAGAGATCCAGCCCTATCTACGACCTGGTGGATGCTGGTGAACATGGGTTCGATCAATAGTTTTTTATCCTCGTCCTTGAGACGGACTGAGAGAACATCCTCCGCATCGCAACAGATAACATCGCCACCTTGTTCACTATTGTGTGGAGATGAGTTCACAAGCTGCACTAATCCCTGACAAGTGCAGACTGTTATTAAATTAAGATGCTAGTCTAAAACTATATAGATATGGTATCTAATTACCATATCAATAATAGCTTATCTATTTAGGTCTAGATTTTTCGGGTCGGGCGCGGGTCCGAGATCTTGAACCCGAACCTCCCCCCGAAACCAACTCTAATTGTTCCCTGGACCCTTTCGCACATGACAGTATCGTTCCATACAGGACTGTATTTGACACAAAACATGTACACACATGCGATTTCATTTGCGATGCTCGTATCTGTCGATCTTTTGTCCTCGGCCTCTCGCATCTCTTCAACTCTGATGGGAATCCAAACAGAATACCACAATATGGAGCCCAGACTCCCTTCCTCAAAATGTCATGCCATACTAGAGGATCGAGGCACCAAATACATCATCGAAGTGGTTTTTGGCAGTGGTGGGAGCAAGAGGTTTCTTGTGGTCACGGCTCATGCCTACTTCCGCTCATATGGCGGTATGAAATAGTACAATAACCCGTGGGCGATAGACGCGCATAGTGGCGCTATCCACTGTATCCAATGATAGGACGCAAAATGCGACCCGACCATCGCTCCGAAGCATCGGGCTGGATGTCCTGCTATTTCCATTTGTTAGCATATTGTTTGCTCTTCTTCCAGCAAAGTCACTAGGAGTAACGTACAAAACCCGGTATAGCCTGGACGAATGATCCCAGTCGAAAAGATACACACTCCTAGCACAATTCCGACGAAAATGGGCCCTAATGTCGGTCCGAATACTACACGCTGCCGCGGATCAAGGCCAATGCCAAATGCGAGGAAGATTAGTGCCACGTCCGTTACAAATTCAATCACGAACGCGCTACCGGCTGAGACCTGGTTGACGTCCATATAACAGCCTGGAACCATGAACTGTCGATGCGTATTAGCAAGTCCTGTTGGTAGGACGATGGATTGGAAAGGTACGACCAGATCCAAAAAGTACATGATTGAATGTCAAGGGGCAGCAGTGAATGACATACAGATCTCGTATCAAGGCTCGCTCGTACCAGCCAACCGGCGATAGCCGCACCGAATATCTGGAATGCAACGTATAGAACGCATCTCGGGAACGTCATCAAGCGACCGAAGAATGCAGCAAAACTGATCATGGGGTTGAGATGGGCTCCAGAAACCGGACCGACAGCATAGATGAATAAAGGGAGCATGAACATCACTACCAGGCTGCCGATTAAGGTGGGCACCACGGGGCCGGTCGCAAGGTTACTATTTTGCTACTCGGTTAACATCAACTCGCTCTGTGTGAAGTCAAAACCAATCGGACGGCTCACTTCATATTTTGCGCCAGCCCGATGGGGAAGAGGATAGTTAGATACACGAGCAAGCAGGTCCCTAATCATGAACACCTCAATCAATTCCGCACTTGGTGGAAAATTGCTCTACTGATGGTCACACACCTACGCCTTCAATGGCCGCTGCTTTCCACAACCCTAGCTCAAGGAATTGTTTTGGTGATAAAGAGTTTCTCCATGGTACCCACGGGGCCGCATCCGGGTATTTTTCCAATATCGCCGTATCTGTACAGTTGTTTTTCTCCAGAGAGAACTGTTGGTTCGCACCGATGCGGCCAGCAAAAGGAGGGGGTTCCTTGGGTGTAGGTAGTGTTTCTGGCTCACTGTGCCAGAAATTCGCGTGGGGCGCCATGCTTTGCACGCCGACACTATATCTGTAGCTGTCGATTCGCGACGGAAAAGGATCGAGATATAGGAAACAATACCCTGCAAATCGCTTAGAACCGGAGCTTTCACATCTTCACAGGAACAAGGTTGGAACGAGGTATCTCTGGGAGTGATGATTGGTCATTGACCATCAATTCCCCATACAGCAAGCGTGGGATGAATTGCGGACGACGATCTATCGCCACCATATTGCAGCGCTAGGAAGCTCGAGCCCGCGGCAAAAGATCATGGGCCGTCCAATCATATTTTCCCTCTTCATTCGATAAACTCCATCGTGGTTTTTCTTACAGGAGACATCCATCGAGTTCTGCTCCAGTCGAGTCTAGATGTCATGGAGAACTTTACCGTGCAATTCAAAAGCCAATAGGACCCGTGGAAGTGTCATGGTTCTGGAGGTCCTTCTGGCTTTGTCATTCTCGAATAATCACCGTCAGCGGAACCAATGACGTCATCCGAACTTTACCCCAGACGGACAGAGTCAAACAGCCAATCCTCCGTAGGGCAAGTCCCTGCACACGGGTCGATGGAAGGTTACTTGTGATAGAGTTGGGTAGTTACGTTGAGCTTGGTAAGTTTCTCATAATCCAGTGCCAACGGAGCTCCTTCTGCTGGGATTTCGCAATGTAGCAGAGCGAGAAAAGCACATATAAATCCCCTCGACCTCTGCTCCAATCCATTCGTGCCCATACTACACAAACAACAGCAATCAAGGAATTTCATCTCCAGCGACCATCAACCATGGCTCCTCCTACCTATACCCGTCTTGACAAGGACAACTGTGTCTTTCTGTTTATCGACCACCAGGTAAGCGGCTGCCGTCATCGATTGTCTGCCTCGAGCCCGACATGATCACACAAGCGAGTTCAGTTACTGACGAGCATTCCAGTCGGGTCTGATTCAGCTGGTCCGCGATTTCGAACCGAGCGAGTTCCGGAACAACGTGTTGGCTCTTGTCAGGGTCGCTAAATACTATGGGGCGCCGTCCGTTCTGACCACCTCCTTTGAGACGGGACCCAATGGGCCTATTGCCAAGGAAATCGTTGACGAACTTCCTAATGCTCCCCTCATTCGGCGCCCTGGACAAATCAACGCGATGGACAACGAAGATTTTGTGCAAGCCATCAAGGCGACTGGAAAGAAGCAGGTTGTCATTAGGTAAGTACTTCACGAAACGGTTTACTTGTGCAGTAATAACCATGGTTCTTAGCGGTGTTTTAACCGAAATCTGTGCGACCTTTCCCGCTCTTAGCCTGGTCGAACAGGGATATGATGTGTTCCTGGTGACCGATGCGAGTGGAACCTTTGCGGAACACACGCGGGAAGCATCCCATAAGCGTCTTGCTCAGCATGGTGTGCAGCTCCTCAATTGGGCCGCTGTCGCTGCGGAGTTGCACCGCGACTGGCGTCGGGATATCAGTGGATTTGGTGCGATCTGGCGCGACCATGTTCCTGGATATTGGTGTTTGATGCAGAGTTACGAATCTGCCGGTCAGAATGCTCAGAAGTAATCACGCCGAAAATAGTACTCGATAATATCATAACGTCAGGATAGTTATATGCCATAGCCAATGAAGACACAATAAGTGCAGTTTCATCAGCTTTCACCCTTCGGTCCGACGAGACTTGAGGAGATTCTCCAGGTTCTTTTTTTTTTTTCAGGGTCTTTGCCCAGAAGGGACGTGCGTCTTCCTCCGTGTTCTTCTGCGACGGTCTTATTATTAATTGTAACCCCCCACTTTATCAAGGTTTAAGTAATCGATACATGTTGGCGGGTCTTCGGCTTACTCCGTAATCTCTTCTCTCTTCCCATTGAGCAAACTGAAGCAGTTTCAGATTATCTGTCCATAGCTGGCTTGCTGACTTGTATCCATTGTTGAGCATACCAGGTCGGGGCTACACGTGGATCAAGTATTGTCGAGGCTACGAAAATATCCTGGCGTGGGGCCAATGGTCTAGACAGATGACACAATCGCTATTCAATACAAAGCTTCAATTTAAAGTTCTAGCCTAAACCTATATAGATAAGGTTCCGGGTTACTAACTACTAAGTAAGCAGCACATTTATCTATTTAGGGCCTAGGCCGAGTAGCGGGGATATTTTAGACCTAACTTGGCGCGGCTTCGGGGCGGGGGCAGCAGAGCCTATTAAAAACCCTATCCAGCATCGGGTCGGGGACGGGTGCTAGATCTTGAGCCCGAACCCGCCCCGAAACTAACTCTAGCCGTGGATCTCATCTTTGTTCCTTGCTTTCAGTGTCTCTCGTCCTGAAGAGGGCTGGTACTCGGCAGAGATGGATGATATGTTAATCTCTCCGAGGTGGCTTGGTAGTGGATGGCCATTTTCGAGAAGCTTCAGCAAGGCTTTTGGTACCTAGGCAGAGGTCATAGGGTTGAAGACACGGTGCAGGATGTATACTTAATTTGATCACAATGGAAGTACAATAACCGTAAAACCGGATGATAGAATCACGGTGTCACCACGCTTGGTTTTGATAAAATTACCTGGTTCTACCACTGATATGCCATTCCATTACTTTGAAAATTATATACTGTGGAAAGTATCTATCGAGCTACAATAGGGATATTACTAGATTTTGAAGGCAATATGACACTTATTCAATAATATTAAAAGTATGCATCCTGCATTGTAGATTCCTTAGACACGAAAAGAAAATTTGACATGTGTAAAACACGGCCAGAACACTGTAGATCCACGGGGTTGCAACCCTAGGAACTCCGCGTAGGTATTTGGTCACATAATCATTTGCGAGTATAGCTAGAAGACGTGGGATTTAAACTACCAAGGTATGTATTACAAAAAGAGAGGCAATGACACATTCAATTCTATACTCAGTGGAGAACTGAGCATTTAAAAGTGCTGTAAATGTACAATACAGAGACCTCAAGAATCATGTGTTCAGAACCAGCAGCTATGTTACTGTAACTACTCTTTCAGGCAATCGGTCCCACTCTCCAGGCGTATGCAATGGTAAATGCTGACACAAAATTACAACAATGTGAACAGAATGTTGGGATTTGGGGCATGGACTATCTTTCATGGTTTAATTGGAAGTCGACAATCGAGGGAGAACTCCAAGGTAGCCACACAATTGACAGGAGGAGTGCGTCTCAGCCGACATCAAACGACAATATATATAATCATTCTATAGCACATTCCTAGGACGATGGAAGGCGATGTTTAGTCCACCTGTTCTGAGGTCTTTGCTGGAGTTTCGAGGATTCAGCCCACGGCACGCTTATCATCCATCTAATCATCCATATCATATTTTGATATGGATAACCCATGGTAGTGTTGGGGACATCGATTCTAAGCGAAATTAGCTGAATAATTTTCAATATGGATTAATAATGATGAGCCCCACACGCAAGATGCAAACGATCATGTGGGGCCAGTGGATATAAATACCCCTGTTCCCATAGGATACAACTCGAGCTCGCCTATTAACTGCAGGATGGAAGTGAACAGGGCAGCTATAGTGAAGAGTCCACGGGCCTCGGTTGAGGTTGAACAGATCGAAACCTGGGTACCGGGCCCTGGAGAAGTGCTAGTGCGGAATGAGGCGATTGCTTTCAACCCCATTGAAGCCAAGATCCAGAGGTGAGAAAAAGGGTGGTTGCGGCATTCCCTGCTATTTTCGGGTGCTTTTTTGATACTCGAACAAGCGCGTATAACTGATTTTTCGGCTAATATCTTTGAACGATAGATGGGAAATGTTCCAGATTGAATACCCGGCAATTCTCGGATACACGTTTGCGGGCACAGTCATCTCGGTGGGACCAAATGTTGATGCAGTCGAGGTTGGCGATCGCGTCGCAGTTGCTTGTTGGGGCCGAGCAGCTGGCGATAACAAGTTTGGTGCCTTCCAGAAGTATCCCCTTGCTCTGGAGGAGAACCTCGTGAAATTAGACAGTCAAACTTCCTTGGAACAAGGCTCTGGCGTGATGGCCAACTTAGCGACTGTTGTTGCTGCTCTTTCGGTGTGTATGAAACTTGATTTTCCACCTATCAATGGAAGGGCTCCCGCAAACGGCAAGAGAATCTTGATATATGGTGGTTCATCCTCGGTTGGTAGTTTGGCTGTGCAATATGCAACAGACGCTGGGTATGAGGTGGTGACGACATCGTCCCCTGCCAACTGTGATCTAGTACAGCGACGTGGTCCATCATGCATTATCGACCATACTAAGCCAACAGAGCAGCTTCTGGGGGTACTCAAAGCCAATGGGCCCTACGACGGTATTTTTGATGCGATTGGTTCTTCAGAAGTAACAGAACTCCTCGGCAATTTGCTCGCGGAGAACGGTGGCCTTTTTTGGTCGACAAGTCCCACGCCAGCAGACTCACACCTACCAAAGAATGTGAAGAAGGAATGGGCAGGGTACTCGGATGTCCTAGTGTCACGAGATGAGAACAAAGACGCCAAATTGTGGTATCTTCACGAGTACCTCCCGAAAGGCTTGTCTAGCGGCCGGATCTTTTCAAACCCTTCGTATATATTTCCAGGTGGGCTAGATTCAGTACAGGATGCACTTGACACTTTCATGACCGGCAAAGTTAGCGGAAAGAAAATCTTTGTCAATCCGCAGGATTGACGACACTGACTGCTGAGTCTGCAAGCTTAGGGCTAGTTTTATGAATTATCTCGTGATGCCGTTGCATTCAACGTTGGAAAGTTCCTGAAAGACAGGAGCAGGTCGCTTGGAGAAAGTCCTCCTGAAAGAACCTCGTCATGAAGTCCTTGCTCTTTCCTTGTGACCTTTTATATATACTTGTGAAGTCTCTTCGGAGATGTTACAAGTCAAAGCTAATATCTTTTGATGTTTCCCTGTGTGCTCCCTTTGAATGATGACCTCAAGACGTTTCGTATAGGGCTAACCTTCGAGTCCGCCAAACTAATACAAGCAATATCCGTATTTCTCAGTGGCTTGCCGCCGCGCACATCGACAATATAAATGTTAGATCCTCATACCAACCGCAAATAATGCCCGTTCCAATCATACATAGATCTTGGGATTCATCATGGCGTACACCTGTGCGATGGGATGCTTCATTGCCTCGTGTACCAATTTGTCCCGTCTGGAGAAGATCGTAGAAATAACTTTCCAGTGAGCCATATTTTCCATCACCAGGTAAAGGGCTGGCTTAGGCATCGAGTGCATGTAATCATACAGGGCGACGATGGAAACAACAGAGACAACGGAGACATTGATGGGTCCAAGGCGAACGAACGACCCAAAGCGCTGGTGTGGTGGAGGTAATGCTCGTGAGCAGCTGCAGTACTAAATAGGAAGAGGCAGTATAGATCAGTTAATTTGGCAACGACGGCGCCCGAAATGAAGTGGAGATCAGAACAGAATAGAGGAAAGAGTGAGAGATGGTATAGGAGGTACGGAATGACAACTTCAGGTTTCACCTCAGCTGAGTGACTATCTAACATAGAGACGCGCAGGGGCTGGACCTAAACAGACCACCCTCCAACAGGCGTAATTCTGTGGGTATTAACGGTGTGTTTTGTTTCCTATTCATCCTAGGGGAAGAGGATAATGTATATAAGATCTTTGCAATGTCGGGATATTGTCGAAAGGTACGTTTACCATAGCATTACATCCTTCTTCAATGGCTGGTAGCATGGTGGTCTGTTAACAGTGTAAGATATTATGCACCTTCCAGCAACAATGCCGCTGGGGATTGCTGTATCCCCTCCAGATGGGAGATATGTGCACTGTGTCATAGGAGAAGCCAATTTAGTTCTAGCGAAAAGGCCCTTGACGATGAGTAGGCCGGGCTTTCTATCCCAGTAAATTAAGCGAGGAAAGCAGATTGTTCGCGACTGAAGCTTCATTTTAAGTCCTCCGTTTAATAGATTGCACCTGGCTACTGGAGAGATATACTTTGCTCCCTCGTCATTACATATATAGCGGCCTATGGGGCTTTGCTAAATTTACAAGGCTCAGGTCTACTGTTTCTTCCGTTGGAGATCACTAGCCCGTATGCTAGATGTTCATGGTCTTGGAACCGCGAAAGTATTTGAGTGAAGTTATTAGGAGGCTCAGTTGCCGTATTATCACAAGTAGATGTTCATTTGGAGTTTACCGTACCTCACAAGATTAGACACTCAAGGGCTTTATAGTAATAAGTGTAATGCGTTGTTCCATCCTTCGTGTAGGTCTTCCCACAGCTCCAGTCCGCTGCATGAGCGTTATAATTGTACCCCAGACAGGTGAAAGGGAGTTCCGAGTTGTCACACTTCACAGACCCAGGCCTGTGCTTGCTTCCACTGTACAAACAGCCAGTATACTGGCCTGAAATGAATGGCCCCAGCGAGGTTGGATACTCTTCGCCTTCATCGCTCTTAACGGGTCCATCGACCTTGCCCGATAACGCGCAGGTATCCTTCTCGGTAACCTGGTGCCTGTAGCTGTAGTAGACACTGTACCACTTGTAATAGTGGCTAACGGAAGAGTCAAAATGGTCATCCTCTAAATGCCCTCTGAGGATGAGAAGGGAGTTGGGGATGGGTTCATGGGTCTGGCCGCCGCCAGCGGAAGATGTAGTAGTAGTAGTGCTGGCGGTGGTGGAGCTAGTGGAAGTCGCATCCACAGCGGACCAATAACTGGAGTAGTAGCTTTCAAGAGAACGGACAATAGAATCGTCTGAAGCATCAGTTGGCACGTCGTTATCAATATGTGTCACAGTCGCTTCGACCAAACCATCCTCGTCTACTGTCTTGGTGACAGTGGTTCCCTTCACACTGCAAGCACTAATTATCTTACAGGTTGTCGTCGCTGTCTGGGTGGAATAAGTGGAAGCCGGAGTGATCATGGTACTACTAATCCATTCAGTGCAGGATTCGGCCTCTTTTGCGTCACAGTCACCATCTTCTGTCATGCAACCCGGGCCTGTGCAGATACCATTCTTACAGCTTGAGAGTTGAGCAGCGGAGTCTGACAAGAAACCTGGACGCCAAGCTTAGGTATAAAGTGGGGAACAAAGCAGTGGTCCATCGGGGTCTAGAATAACCTTTTCTTTTCTAAGTCACTAGTACGGAGGCTAAGTCCCTGTACATAAGGAACACCTGTTGCACTGCAGAGCTTTTAGGCTTCGTTCCATACTCCTTAAACCTTTCCCGACAGCGTCCCTCTAATGCAATGCATCTTACTGACCTACCAAATGAGACGCTTTTCTTGATCGCATCGTATCTGCGGTGTCAACAAGATGTCTATGCACTTGTACGGACAAATCGTCATCTCACTCACACGCTATACGATTACCTGTATAAGTACAACAGTCGCTACTACCACGGGTCTGCACTAGCATTCGTCACCAGGCAGGGAAACATAGGTCGAGTCGAAAAGCTTTTAATCGGGCTCAGAGCCGCCCGAAAGAAGTCTCGATTCCCACCGGCACCTGGCTGGAGAGGCGAAGCTCTTCCCGAGGAGAGATGGGAAGACGAGGCTGAGTGGGACTCAGACGAAGATTTGTATCCATTCAGCCGAGACATTTCGGCTCATCCACTGAGGGCTGCTGGATACAGTGCAGCAGACATTGTCCAGATCCAAAAGGCCTTACTTGCTGCTATTGAAATGAATCACCAGGAAATCATAACGCTCCTATTTGACTTTGGTGCTCAGGTGAACTTCTATCGTGGGAGCTTACGTGATGACAAGCCCATGAGGTGCCGACTTCCAGACCCTCGCACGAAAGACCCTCCACCACTGTTTTTGGCAGTTAGGTGTGGGAATGTGGATCTAGTCAAATACCTGCTGGACAAAGGTGCTGATCCAGACCGCTATCGCCCCTCCCCGCTGTACCGGGCAGTTGATGATGGACAATATGATATTATCGCATTGCTACTCCGTCACGGGGCTCCCCTATCTTATGCCGCTGTTTTAAGGCTAGCAACACAGCGCCGAGACAGAGTCATGCTTCAGTTTTTATTCGAAAACGGGGTAGAGGCCGCAGTGTATGGACACCGGGCGTTACGTGTGGCCATTCAACGTGACGATCAAGAGATGCTCGAGTTCCTACGTTTGAAAGGCGCGGATACGGAGAAGCGTTTTGAGGGGTTTGGAGAATCTGAAGATGAATGGGATCAAGAGGACGGCGATGGTATGGATGGGAACACTACCCTTGAGGGATACGTTAGATGTTTCTTGGAAGAATCCGAAGGGAGTGAAGATGAATCTGCTTCTGTCACGTAATCCCATGAAAACATAACTTCTTACACTGCCAGGTGCCTAGAGCCATGGATTTCCAATACTCCGTAGCTAGCGCCAAATAGTTTCCGCAATAGATAATACCCTACCAGGTGAAAGTCCTGTGGCCTCGTACGAGAGTTGCATAGAAAGCGACAACTGTCTAGCGTATGCCGAACCAGGTGAACCCTGAATAGCACAGGTCCGTCCAGGTCTTTCAACTAGTCGGTCCTAACCAAATCGCGGTCAACCTAGCAGGATCAGCTTATACCAGAGGTTATACAGCTATGCTACAGGCTAACCCTGATCCTAACCCTGTCTAGGTGTGCCACCGGTTTGACCAGTACTGTCTACACATCTGCTTCTCACCCACGTCTATATGATCCCTATTTTTACATCATTAAGCCAGGCAGTTTGCTGAATATCAAGACCTTCACCGTCGATGATACAGTTATCAAAATGATTGCGGTTTGTATCTTTCTTCAGGTTCTTCTTTGCAAATCAGTTACTGCGTGGACCAATGGTGAAAGTGCGACCGGGCCGACTGATCCATACGTTGTTGATCACTGCGAGTACTGGGTGAACGACATTGGATTGAGCGACAGCTGCGAGCCCATTGAAGACTACTTTGGGATCACGAGGCAGCAATTTCGACTTTGGGTCAGTTTATGTTCTCCCCTTCAGACTACTTTGTCTTTTCCCGTTGGGACTTGGACTTCCCAAATTAGTTGCGTGTGGCTTCTTGATCACTCCTGTAACAGAGAATTCAAATTACTGAAACTTGATTAGAACCCATCTCTGTCACTGTCATGTGTCATGACTCGTGGATCGAGCTACTGTGTCGCAGCACCGTCCTCGGCAACAACATCCACCACTGCTACCCGACCTTCGAATCCTCCAGGCACTCTCACGTACTCCGGCACAGCGGCTCCAACGCAAAGTGGCGTCAGTTCATCCTGCACCAAGTATCATCTAGTGCATCCAGAAGAGACCTGCTATACAATCCAGGACGAATATGGGAGCTTTACTCTTGAACAGTTCTATTCATGGAATCCGTAAGCCCATGTGTCGCGAACGGACAGCAGCAAGATGGAATCAGCCAAAGCTAACTCAAACCACAGCTCCATTGGAAAGGGATGCATTGGTATACAACCAGGGTATTATGTCTGCGTGGGCACTGAATCTAAGTCTTCCACTGTTTCTGTGACGCCCACTACCGGGTCTTCGACTACAGTTCCAAGCAAGACCAGTAAAGGACCTTCCGCATCAGATCCCCAACCACACCAAACAGGTATCCCAGCAAATTGTAGGCTATCTTCCCATTTGTCGGGCTATCTCTGCTATGCTCAATGGCTGATCTTAACAATTTCATCGAGGTAGGCAACAAATGGCATTACGTCATCGATGGTGATGAATGCGAAACGATAGCCACCAAATACGGCATTGCACTCCAGCAATTCTACACGTGGAATCCAGCCATTGGTTCCACTTGCCGTTTCCTTTGGAAGGACAATTATGTTTGTGTTGGTATTACTGGTGCGTCTATTGCCACGTTTACACATAATCACCAACGACTTAAAACATGAGGCGATAGAGCTAACAGATAGTTTAGACTCTACGAGATCAACGACACCAACGTCAACCGCACATACCACCACACCGAGTGCTGTGGAAACACCTACTCTCCCTCCTACAACTGCTCCCTCCCCCATTCAACCAGGAACCCCGCCTGACTGCGTCTTATACCATGAGATCCAACCAGGAGACGACTGCTGGGGCATTGTAAATAAAAGGTTCACTTACCTGACCGAGGATCAGTTCATCAAATGGAATCCAGCGGTGGGCTCATCGTGCAAGATTCTACTGGGCTACCACTACTGCGTCGCAGTGAAGACTGCTCAGCCAATGCCAGACACCATTGACACTTGCAAGAAATGGCACCTTACCGAGGATGGCGATGGCTGCTGGCAGATCCAGCACGACTTTCACATTAGTTCCGATGATTTCAACAAATGGAATCCGCATGTAGGTGCTGATTGCCATGCTTTGTGGCTTGGATACTATATATGCGTTGGTGTGTAGGGATGTGCCAGAGAGCTTAATTTACTTGCAGCGGGGAGAAAGATCTCATTTCTGTCTAAGAAATTCTCGAGCAGGCTTCCTGTCGTATTCACCTGTGCGCTATCTGAGAATGTAGCCTTTGGTTTGATCAGCAAATATTTGTACAGGTTGTTGTAAGTGAGATTCTTGTAGTTTGGGAAAACAATGATAGGGTACACACATCACTCTGCTTGTAAATATGATATGGACTTTATAAGTATATAACTACCTTCCGTATAGACTTCTGAGCAAATGAAATCAGTATATCTATCCCAAAACCCGAAACCAACAATAGAAGCATACATAAAACACAACAGAACCAGACATAGCCTCATAAACACCCCAAGCCACCAAATCCCAATCACGCACTGGGAACAGGACTACTACACCTCAACTCATGGGCCCTCTTATACCCATCAGACCTTGCCCCACCCTTACACTGCTTCCAATCACGATAGGTTAAAACAGTGGCATAGATCGCCAAAACACTGTTCCCAAACTGCATCAGCCACACAATACCTACATCCAATCTTCACAACTACTGTACCTCAGATTAATACTCGTGATAGCCACACCCCACCCCAAGATGCAGCCCGGCGCCACACACATCTGCACATTGGCCTGGATAGTCAAGACCGTGACTGCAGCCCAGAAGACGACCTCCAGGGCATTGAGCATCGTGTATGCTTTCAGACTTCCCCATTTGCGGAGGGCGGCGACGTGCTCGGTTAACAGTTGGTAGAGGATGATCACTAAGGATTTTGCGCTCTAGATTGGTTCATATAGTTAGTTGTGGGCTTTTTTGGGGACGGAATGATAGAGGCGTACCATCCCGAGACCGATTGTGCTAGCTCGTGTACGGGGCTGATTCTTCATGAAGAGCCGAGGGATTGAAAGACCGATCACCATCACGATTAGGAATATCTGGAAGCAGTGAAGAGGGAGTTTCCAGCGAGTATCCAACAGGTTCATTGTGTTATACTTGGTGTTTTGTGGTGTTGCGTGAGGATAGTGAGGATTGAGATGTTGATTGCGTCTTGAGATCGCAGGATGAACTGATGCATATTTACTTCCTACAGCTCGCTCTTATATACATGTTTCCTGAACGAAGCCAAGAGATGGTGAGAGTTGCGGTTGATGGAGACATCGCGTTTCGTATCCGCTTTGCTCAAGGCAGCCAGATTTTATGTATTTACATTCATCTTAGACTTTTCTTGGCTTATAGCTAGGCTTGAGGCTGTACGGAGCTAGCTTCAACGATTACGGAGAACCAGATCTAGCAGTATCTCTCTACCAGCGCAGATACATAGGTGCCAAGAGCGTGTCGATCCTGCGGGCGCTTGGCCCGGGAGTTTTCGATCAAACAAGGTTCACACCAGGAAAGTGTACTACTATAGATATAGCAGATGACGAAACTGCCCTTTGCCAAATAAGGAATTTTCCTCAAGGATTAGATAAGAACACCGGGAGACTTTAAGAATGCAGCTCTGCTAGTATGAATGTAATCCACAAGTGCAATTCCTTCCTGTTCTCAAGTTGAAACCATACCCTCCTCTTCGCCATCGTCTAATCTAGACCCTTCTCAATTAGGATTTTCCATACAACATATAGATGCTGCCTAAATTTTAAACATGATAAGTCTAATTTGAATTGAACGAATAACAAGCAGCAACTTAGGGTCTGATGGTCCCGCATCCGAACCCGAACCCGAACCCGAGAGTGGATCAGCGATCGCCCTCTATTTTTGCTTCAGGCCCATTCATACTCCTCCAAATTGGGCTTGAAACATCAATAAGCACGGCCCATATCGCTGGGTCAAGTTTTTAGTACGGGATGTTTCTATTCCGGTTCCATTTTTAAAGGCTGCCTAGCTTTTAAGCTTATCCATATGTTCTAGGATTTATAATTTCTTAATAATATCGATAGCTATGCCATTGACTATCGGTATGCTCCTCCTTCATAGTTTAATTACATCAGTAGGTCACTCTTTAGCAATTAGTACACACGGAGCGAAACACACCTCCTGTTTTATTAATTTTCCTTGGTCTGCACAGGTCTAGCCTATTGCAATACACCGAACGCATCAGTGGAAATATGGTAGGGATATTTCTACTCGACCAGCATAGTGTCCTGTGATTGCGAGCAGTTGTGACAGTCTTACATCCTCGGAACACTATGTCACCTATTTACTAGCTATGCGGTAAAGACAAAGCTTCTCGGATGTCCGGTCTGACTTCTCCCCAGCTTGGATATTTCAGCCTCGCAACTCACATGAAGTGGTCTATGGCCTTCAAATTCTTGAATTGAAGATTGGTCTAAAACGACATCAAGTACTATTGGTAAGGCTTAGATACAAGAAAGCAAAGTGACTACTTAATAACAAGAGCATCCAGATAAAGGTAGCGAGTGAAATGGACACAAATACAATGGCATGTGCTAGATTACCTCAATAACCTGCTTCCAGCCGCTGATATGCAAGATCAGAAGTTAACAGCGTCACCGGGGTTGCTGTTGGAGTTGGAGACACCGCCAGAGGAAGTCAAGGTAGCAGCATAGCTAGTGTCATAACTGGCCGAGACATTGACACCCAGGGTAATCCAAGCATAGATACCATCCTCAAGAGCATTTCCGAGGAAAGCATACTCGAAGAAGGGGTCAGAAGCGCTATCTTCAGTCTCATCCTGGACGACGTGATCATCGGCGTTGGTGGTGATGGAGACATTGTTCGTGTTGTAAGGGTACGTGGCCTCGACCTTGTAAACGAGGTCCTGGTCGAAGAAGAGCTGACCGATATGAGCGACGTGGCCACCGGTGAGGGTGTTGTTCTGCAACTGGGTGGCACCGACGTGGGCAACGACGTGGACGTGGGTAGCTCTGCCGGAGTAGTGGCCGGGGAACATGGACTGGAATTGCGCGACACCGTCGGCGTCCGTCTTCTGGAGACCACGTAGGAAGGTCTTGTCGAGGTTGGAGTCGTCGTCACCGTTGCCGTTCATGGAGCTCTGGACGCCGGAGTAGACGCCGGTGGAGTTGCAGTTCCACACGTCCCAGTAGAGATCCTTGATGGGCTCGCAGGTCTCAATGTCGATGAACTGGCCGTCCATGATGATCGGGATACCAGGTTCGCCATCCCTGACATCAGATCGCACCAGCTCGCCCTTCACCCAGAAGGGCCCGATTTCTCCTTCTGGGGACAGAATGCACACAGGGTTCTTGGCGAACAGTTCCTGCTCAGTGGTTTGGGAGGTCACGTCGAG